GTTGGTCCTTCTAACAATGATCCCTCTGTCATAGCCCAATATTTTGTGGACACTATCAGGCAAATCGGTGGAACTGCCAAGATAATACGTGGTGATGGGGGAACAGAGAATGTTTATGTCGCTGCTGTACAGCGCTTCTTTAGACGTGATGGGGACGACAGTTGGGCTGGAGATAAAAGTTTCTTATATGGAAAATCCGTTGCTAATCAGCGTATAGAGGCTTGGTGGGGTATTCTAAGAAGAGGCTGCTCGGACTGGTGGATCCGTTTTTTCAAAGATATGAGGGACTCCGGTCTTTACTGCGCAAACGATGCAGTACAGGCTGAATGTCTTAAGTTTTGCTTCATGCCTCTCATTCCCAAAGAGCTTTATAAAGTGGCTGTATTATGGAACTTACATAAGATAAGGCCAACGAACAATGCTGAGTCTCCAAGTGGTCGACCAGACATTCTTTATTTGTGCCAGACGTCACTGGAGGAGCAGACATTAAACAGGATGTGGACATTGATGATATTGAACTTGCGGAGCAAAGATGTTGCTATAGGTATGCAGAAAGTGGCTGTTGTGTCGAGTTCACTCAGTTAGCATCAATTATAATGCAGGAACAAAACTTTGATATGCCTGAGACAGCCGAAGATGCAGTCACCTTGTACTCTACCTTACTTCAGAGCATTGATGATTTAGTATAATAGCATGTTGCCAGTCTCTCGTATGAACTGACGTAGATGATGTATAAGGAAGGGAGGGGGAGGGGGGCAAACGTTAATCGCAAACTCGCAAGGAGAAATGTATAAAACCAGCAATAGAGCATCTTGACTTAATAAAAGTTCGAAACACTAGATTTACGAAGTGCTAGGTCTTGTAAAACTCCAATAACACAGGATGGCACCAACTATATAGTATTACTATAGACAGCAACATAGTATAACGAAAAATTCTTGCGGCCATTTTGTTTGCGCTTAAATGTCAGCGGATTTACTCCAAAGTCAGGGGGAAAAGTCGGAAAAAAAGTCGAGAAAAAAGTCGAGAAAAAAGTCGAGAAAAAAGTCGGGAAAAAAGTCGGGAAAAAAGTCGAGAAAAAAGTCGGGAAAAAAGTCGAGAAAAAAGTCGGCAAAAAAGTCGGGAAAAAAGTCGCGAAAAAAGTCGCGAAAAAAGTCGAGAAAAAAGTCGGGAAAAAAGTCGAGAAAAAAGTCGAGAAAAAAGTCGAGAAAAAAGTCGGGAAAAAGTCGGGAAAAAAGTCGAGAAAAAAGTCGAGAAAAAATTCGGCAAAAAAGTCGAGAAAAAAGTCGAGAAAAAAGTGGGGAAAAAAACTTAAAGGCGAGAAAAAAGTCGAAACAGAAAAAATTGAGCGCAAAATTTGAATGGCACTTACTGGGCTCCGTACCTGTAGCTTGGTGGCAGACGCTAGCTTGCCGCGCAGACGTTCTTTGGGCTTCGTCCCAGCGTTCCTTCCCACTAGGGTAGGATTGCGTGACAAGCCAAAAGAACTGGCAAGAGGGGGTGAGAAAGTGCGAAGGAAAGAGCGGTTTCTTTCTCTCCCCAATCCCCTCTCTCTTTTGCCTCTTTTCCCCTTACCTTTTCGACCCCTGTCACGCCAGCCTGAAATACAGGCGCCATCTTTTTTTTTTTCGCTTGCCTGAAAAACGCAAAAAGTAACACCTCTGAAGACTACGACAACGTGACCTAGCATTTCTGGTAAAATTGATCATTTTTTGAGTAGATATGTTGAACCACAACAGATACTTCACCAAAAACCCTTAGGACTCTGTGGACCGTTTTAAAAAAGGGATGAGGTACGTGACGGGGTTACGTGACCAATATACATGAAGCGTTCGTGAAGCGTAACCATATGCACGAACAGAGCATTTCTTATGGAGTCGTGGTCCCCAATATTTATCCTCACCGTTTCTATTGTTGTGGTGGTCATTGGAACGACCATAAGTAGAATCATAAAGCTGATAATATCCTCTAGTTGGTACAAAAGGAAATACGCCGAAAGACAACAGCGTTGGACTGAATTAACCGCCCTGGTCTTCGAGCCCTTGAAGCGAAAACTCTTCGCAGATCTCGATGAAAATCTTAAAAGACTCAACGGCGACGTTTTAGAAATTGGCATCGGTTCAGGGCAAAACTTCCATCATTATCCTACAGGTACAGCGCTAATAGCTGTTGATCCTAATCCACATGTGGAAAAACTTCTAAAGGAGAACTTGAGGAAAGCAGGTGACAGGATAAAATTGAAGAGATTTGTCGCTGTTTCAGCGGAGGACATGAGTTACAAGGAGCGGATCGGTGTAGAAGATAATTCTGTTGCTGCTGTGGTTTGCACGAAGCTTTTCTGTTCCCTAACTGATGACCAAGCAAAGAAAGTTGTCCGAGAAGTAAAGAGAGTTTTGATACCTGTGAGTATTTAATATATTTCAATATTTTCAACCCGAGTGAAAAAATCGCTGGGGATTATGTTAGATGGGGTCAGGGGGAGG